TATGCATGCATGTATGCATGCACGCACATATGAGGTATGGGGACGTGAGCATCCCTAAAGCCTTTCTGCACCTTTCTCGGACAGTGCTTCCGATCCCTGAAGCCGAACCATAAACCCTTACAGACGAATCAGTGTAAGCACCAGCAAATGCTAACCAGCCGCAGGAGGCAAAAGGCCATGGTTTTGACCTGGAAGGTTAGGGCTCAGGGCTTAGGGTTTACGGCCTTGTTTTGGGTCTAGCTAGGATTTAGGGCTTGGGTTACGGCTCCTGGTTTAGGCGTTAGCCAAGCTTGAAGCCATCATCTGTCTACTAGAGCCGGGAAGATACAAACAACTCTTGGCTAGAAGACAAACAACGTGTATGTATGCATGTATATGTGTGTGTATAGATTTAAAGAGAGAGATCCAGCTAGCGAGATCTATCTATATATATATATATATATGCATATTCATACATGAAGTGACTAATACATATATCTGTGTATACAAATTTATATATGGGAGAGAGAGGGAGAGAGATGTGAGAGACAGACAAAGAAAGAGCGAAAGAGAGAGAGACAGAGAGAGAGCGAGACAGACAGCGAGCGAGATTTAAAGAAATAAAGTAAATCGAGGGAGCTTGCTGCGCGAATGTAAATGTCTGTTCTTGGTAACTACAAGAAGGATCTGCATTCTGCTGACAAGTTCAGGCCGCATCATTTGGATTAAATGCTCACACAGGAGCCCTGCATTCAACAGGTAGCTCTGGTCGCCGGTTTAGGGTTTAGGGTTTATGCTCATTGACTCATTGTGCTTCTTTCGAAAAGCTACCGCCACTGCCATGCCGTAGCGGTATGTTGCAAACAATGCAAGGCACGTCGTTTTGGGGGAGCCAGGCGACCGCCTTTTAGTCTCCACGCGGCTGCAACTACTGGTGTCATGATAATTCTTGCTGTTCTTCATAGCTCCCCAGGATATAGAAATCGGAATATTAGGGGGCTCTATACACACATGTCTGGTTGTGCTGCCAGTTGGCCGCTGTGGCAGGGAGGCACCAGCTTCCCTGTACTAAGGTACTTGTCTGCGGAGCGCATCTGAGGACATGCCTTTGTGCTGCGTTGATGATTGGCGGCGCGAGCACTCCAAAATCTATATAACCCCAAGTAGTACCATCCTTCTTCGCAGGACTTAATGAAGCAACCCATGTTCTAAACCTGTAGACTAATACAGCACTGATGTGATTTACAACGTACAAACCGTTCTTTCGCAGTTTTAGCACCGTCGCTCCACTGGGGCCTGCTCTTGGTAAACACCCCAGAAAGGTGGAACGCGGGTTTAGGATGACTAATGCTGGGATCCCTTACGTTTTATCTTAAGAGCATGAGGATTATAATGTTCCAACTTTATATGGCTTCTACAAAAGCCCCAATTCAAGGCTCTGGGTTTAGGGCGAACCCAAACAGTAAATCTTCAAGTGGAGCCGTTGAAAGCATGGAAACCCCTCCTGGTCCATCTGATGCGGATCCCTTAAATCAAAGTACACGGAGCCGCTTTGGGATCCTAACTGATGTAAAAACCTGATTAGAAAACCCTAGCCCTGAAACCTCAAACTTTTGGTATTCATGTAAACAGCCCGAATAAAGACCCAAGGCCTCTGGGCATTAGGTTCCTATATTATACCTGCTGGCTCTCTACAAGAAGAGTTACCATGGAAGCTATGCGGGAAACTCATGTTCTAGGCTTCGCTGTGAAGGAAAGGGTTCAGCGCAGTTTAGGGTTCAGGGTTTAGGGTTGGGGATACGTTGCCGCTCAGAACTTATCCAGCAGCCATGAGCTACGCAGCCATGGCCGACAGATGTACAATGTCCCTAAACTATCGGAACCCAGGCTCCGAATCCGACCCCTGAACCGCCCTAAAACAGATGCGACACAGTTTAGGGCTCAGGGTTTAGGGTTTTAGGCCCGCGGAACACCTCATTCTGCTTGGCGACAGCGAGGGAGTGAGCCTCGAATACCCGGAATTTGCGCTAGAATCCCTAAACCCTAAACCCTAAACCATACGCCCTACACCCCAAACCCTAAACCCTAAACCCGCTAGACTTATTGTTGTTTCTCCATGCCTCTGTTTGGCGTCTCGTTTATGTGCAGAGCTCGGGTTGAAGGCAGTTTGAGGTTTAGTAGTCTAGCGGCCTTAATAATGAGAATAGGGTTCGTTTAAAGCGTTACTATATAAGGGTCATTATACGGGTTCTATAAGGATATAATGTAGGGCCTTACTGATTAGAATAGGGATTTGGGGTATATTATACCATAATTATAATAAGGAACCCCCAAAACAGTAGAGGGTGCGTCGAAATACGGGCCCGTGTTTTTCGCGTAAAAAAGCGTTTTTAAGCATGTTCACAAGGATGTGCAAGGACAAGGTATGATAAGGTAGTATCGTTACTTGTAAATGCTGATCTTGTTTCTTGCTGTAACAGATCAACATGCTCTTATATCTGTATTGATGGATGGTCGGTTGGATACATCGATTCCTCTGACTTGTCGTCGCCAAAGCCAGGTCTTGCATCATGTAATAATGAAATAGCCCCATCCACTGACATGTCTGATGTTAACTGATGTTTAGACTGTTTCACTATATGGTAGGTGACAGACGTACTCATGCACTAGAGTTTGGGGTTTCGGGAGCCAAATCCCCTTGTCGGAGCATTCGGGATCGCCGCCCGAATCATGTCATGTTCGGTTCGGTTGTATGACTGCGCACTGGTTCCAAAGATTCCAAAGTTTCAAACTTTTCATTGCACAGCGTCATTCGGTGTAAAATTCGCACCTTCTTCCGTATTAATTATTTTGCCTGGCTAGCCACCTGAATGTTGGCTACATGGCCACTGCTCTCAATCATAACATGTTAAAGCTCTGGATGTGCGAGAGCAGAATTATCCCTCATAAGATGCCTGGTGTAGGGGATGCCATCCATCGTTTCCTGTCCAAGGTTCGGAACATAGTTCCTGACCCATTGGGTGTCACTGCGGTTTAGTTTCAAAGTTCGGAAGTTTTTTCCAATATTCCATTCTAGATAGTGTTGGCCACCGCTTTAAATGTTGGGTTTGCCACCCGTCATCTCTTATTGAAAATTCAAATGCTTGCGGTCTACGTGCCCAAAGCTCGGGTTCCGGATATACCATCCACCATCTCTCATTAGAATTTGGGATGCTGAGGAAATTTGGTGCCGAGGATGTTCGAGTTGAGTGATTGAAACCCGTCATTTGTTTTGAAGTTGCGGGTTTTGTACCCAACTTGATCATTTTGGGGCCTTCGGGAATTATTGGTATTTTCGGAGAGTTTGGTGCTTAGGGGATCATCAACTAAATTGAACTTCGGATCCAAAAACAGCTTATCACATTTTGAGCTTCTTATGAACAGGGTGTCTGTTTGCCACTTATCGGCCCTAGTTTCGCAAACCATTCCCCTCGTATTAGGGCTGAGGGGAGGGGCTTGCCACCCATAGTATTTCTTGCAGGTCTAAGTCTATAACCATTATCTTCAAGTCTCTGACCCTTTATTGAAGTTTGATGCCCGTCATATCTTGTGAGGTGATTCAAGTGCTGAATCCACCACATATTACCTGCTGTTAGCTGGCACCCAGTCAGCTTGATTAGGGCTTACAATCTCTACCACCCACCATGTTCTTGTCAAATTCGGATCGCCAGCCGTCATCCCTTCTAAAACTTATGATTTAGACATGGCTTTTGGGAAATTCACCCACTAGCTGTTGCTAAAGCCTTCTGCACCAGATATGCCATTCACCATCTCTCATCGGAATTTGGGATGTTATGGGTGCAGTCAAACTTGTTGCTGTTTCGGGACTGGAACCCATCTTTTTCTTTGGGGTTTAGGGGCACCCGACCTGCCCAATTTAGAGCATCGCATCGCATTGTCTGATGGGCTTGATTGTGGGGCTTGTCATCTCCATCAGATGTTCAAAATTATGTTTCATACATACATACATGCATACCTACATACATACCTACATACATACATACATATATACATACATACATACCTACATACATTTGTAGCTCTCTCTTTCTCTCCATCGTGCACACACATACATATGTGTGTATGTATATAAAAGTGAAAACACACACACACACACACTCTCTCTCTCTCTCTATATATATATATATGTATACATACATACATGCATACATCTATATATATATATATATATATGCACGGAGAGAGAAGGACTAAACGGGGTTCATCTTACGAACCATTCGGATCTTTCAACGAATGACTTGGGGTTGTCAGTGTCTTCCGTTTGCTGCAGGAAACTACAGGTGGGAAGTTTAGGGCAAAAAGGGCGTCTATATAGGCTTCTACAAGGTATATGGACCTTCTAAAAGGCTCCTATAACGGTAACTACCCACCTGAAAATGTCACCCTGGACCCTATACCCTAAACCTTAGAACCCTAAACCCTAAACCTCAGAACCCTAAACCCTAAACCTTAAAACCCTAAACCCCAAACCTTAAAACCCTAAACCGTGCTGCTGACGCGAGGCGTAGGCCGAATAGAGCAAGTCGTCGGCAGCTTGGAAGTCGTCGCCTCACGCGGAGGTGAGCACGGGTTTAGGGTTTAGGGTTTAGGGAGGACCCTCCTTGTACCCTCAAATATAGGGTTTTTGGTCCCAAATAATGGGTACCTGGAGGATCATGGGACTTAATAAGTAAGGTTATAAGTCCCTTAATTGGGGTTACCCTACTTACTAAGTCCCATGATCCTTTAAGTACTTGGGGTCTAATAGAGGGTAGATGGAGGGTCTAGGAGACAGGATTGGGGTTGTCCGGGGTTCAGGTGTGACATTGGGGGTTTAGGGCTCAGGGTTAGACGGTTAGGAGTTAGGATGGTTTAGGGCTCAGGGCGTAGCAGTAGGATTGAGGGTTTGAGGAGTTAGGGGCAAGTGCAACAACAGCGCTTGAACTGGCCTGAACTTTAGCAGCGCACACTTCTCACTACATGAACAGAAAGCCTGTGTAGGGTTTATAAGGCCTTCGACTTTACCCTAAACCCTATACACCCTCAACGCCCTAAACCCTGAACCCTAAACGCCTCAAGCTCGAAACACTCAACCCCAAACCATCGCGCGTATCGGATATCTGCACGAGGCTTGCTGCATATTGCCACGTTGGGAGCTTGTGATCGCCTCTGCTTACGGTTTGGCAATTGAAGTTTGGGTTTGGGGTTCGTCTAGGGTTTGGGGGTTTAGGGTTAGGGTGCTTATGGGTGCGAAAAGCCCACCCAGTCGCACCTGCCGTAAGCGGGCTACAGCTCTAAAGGGTGCCTGGAGTTTGGAGACTACTCGATGGTTCTGGTGGTTCGAGGATGGCTCGGTATAGGGTTTTAGGATGTTTTAGGATTTGGGATTAGGGGCGAGGGTTTAGGGCTTAGGTTGAGGGTTTCGGGTCCTGCAACGAGTCTAGTACAGAGGGTTTGGGAACGCAGGGGTCAAGGGCTGAAACATTCAAGGTAGAGGGTTTCAGTTTCCGGGGCTTAGCGGTTTAGGTTTAGCCTCCAAGTAGGAGTAGAAGCATGGTGGCCTTACTGCTGGGGACATTCTTTTTGAGTGGGAATATGGTAGTACAATTGTGAAAGACTATAGAATTACGAGTACGCATCATTCAGAACCCATATCACATATGACTGTAGGCATTAAACCTCGAAGCAATTTCTGCAAGTTTACTCGAGGCATCCAGAAACACCAAGAGTTACAAGACAAGGCGGTGCCTTCGACCTCCCAGTAAATGGGACCCACTGCGTGGATGACCTGGGCGCAATTTTGCACTTGCTGTTAGATTTCTTACCACGAGCAACGCCTGGTTCCTGAGAACTGATACTAGCCACTGTACCTTACTTAGCATTGATGCCTAATTAGACCTAACCCCAGCCCCAGCCCCAATGTTACTACCCAATGGGTTTTGAAGTGTCTGTGACTGGATTCCAGTTGAATCGCCAAGCCCTGCATCATCCTAACTGCGACTTTGCAGAATCCAATGTTCAGAACGCAATTAGAACCCGCTGGCACACTTGCCAACTACGCCCAGCAGAAACGAAAACCGAGAGAGATGGAGTTGTTAATCCTTCTTGAGCCCATGGCCAAGAGACTCTTGGTTGCCATAGTTACACAACAATCACGACAACTGCTTGCACATCGTGATTTCAAACTGCTCATCGAGAGGAGTGCTTCGTAACGGGTTCCCTAAACCTGAAACCACATGCCGTAAAACCCTTCACCCTAAACCCTAAAACCATAAACCCTAAGATCCTAAACCCTAAACCCCAAAAGCCCTAAACCCTAAAACCATAAACCCTAAGATCATAAACCCTAAACCCTAAAGCCTAAAAGCCCTAAACCCTAAAACCATAAACCCTAAGAGCATAAACCCTAAACCCTAAACCCTAAAAGCCCCTAAACAGTAAAACCATAAACCCTAAGATCATAAACCCTTAACCCTAAAAGCCCCTAAACCCTACAACCAGAAACCCTAAGATAGGGGTTTCGGGTTTAGGGTCTAGAGTTTATGGGTTTAGGGTTTATGGGTAGTTTTCCAAAATAGGGTCCCTGCTAGGGTCCTTTTTTATAAGGGTGCCGTACTATTGGGGGCCGAAACAGGGACCCTAAGGTAGAGAACTACCCATATACATCCTGCATTATCTTGAGGATCCTAAACTATGGGAATTATGGTATCTTCCTTCTTATGGGTAATGCAGGATTTATATCATCTGCCGTATGGAACACTAAACTCACTAAACATCACAAACCTAACTCGCAGGATCGCCAGTTCTGTTTTATGAGGCCAGGTGCCCTTATTCGGAAAACCCTCAAAAGAGTACTTCTCTGAATTGGGATCCCGCTTTAGGTCCCCAATTTTTACGGCACCCTTATGGAAAAGGCTCCCCAAAAGGACCCTTATCTAGAGAATTACCCAAATGAGGGCCAGACCCACTTGGCTGAAAGATCGCCGCCGATCGTCACTCGCGCCTTGCCAGCCCTAAACCTAAACCCCTAAACCCTTAAACCTTTAACCCTTGAAAGCTAAGCCCTATCCCCTAAGCCCTAAACCCTTGAACCCTTAAACCCTAAACCCTTACACCGTTAAACACTCCTTAAACCACAAGCCCTTAAACCCTTAAGCCCTAAACACCTTGAGCCCTAAACCACGGAAGTTGAGGGTTTCAATTTCAGACCCAAGCCCTCAAGCCTAAATCCCTAAACCCAAGCACTAACGCCGAAAGTCTCTACGGACATGCCTTGAGGTTTAGGGTTCAGGGTTTCAGTGAAGCCGGCTCTGCATTGCCGCCACGTTGCCTTCAGGTTTGAGAAAGCTAAGGTCCAACTTGATTTGCCTTTGTTCATAAAAGTTGTTTAAAGGAGGTCTTATAGTCAAGGGTTGGATTGAGGTGTTTTGGGGTTCAGGGTGGCAGCGCCTTGTGGTTTGCGTCGATGAACCCCAAAAAGGCCGTTGTTTGTGGTTTCGGTACTTGAGAGGTCCAGAGAGCAAGATCCGGTCAACCGCGGCCCAAACCGAGAGCAATAGCCTTAACCCTAAATCCTTATGAAACTGTTGATGGACAAAATTCTGCATGACCCAACTATAGTATAGTACCATAAATCCCAGAGTTTAGGTATATAAGGTCATGCAGGATTTTGTCCATCAACAGAAGGACCCCAGAAAGGAACCCCTTAATTACTTGTCTGTTAGAAGGAGATCCGAACCTTAAACCCTAAACCCTGAACCCTAAACCCTACACCCTAAACCCTGAACCCTAAACCCTACACCCTAAACCCTGAACCCTATTACTCTGTTAGAAGGAGACCCGACCCCTAAACCCTATAAACCCTGAACCCTATTTCTCTGTTAGAAGGAGACACGAACCTGCAACGAGGTCTGAACATGCAATGAAGCCCTGACCGCTCTGAGCCCAGACCTCGAATTTCCTGTCAGGCTGGCCAAGCCTTGAAAGGCTCTACTGCAAAACACAGTTTAGGGTTATAGGGTTAAGGGTTTAGGGAAGAGCGTTTCGGGAATACCAAAGCATGCGCCGTAAATCGCCCTGTCAAGACAGTGCTGGGTCCAGGTGGAATCCTCAACAGCACGCGCCAGTGGGTTTTCCGGCACAAAAACTCACCCAAATGCCACAATAGACCATTTCCAGCAGGGAATCAACCTCCCCCAACCATAAATGTTGTTGTGCTAGCCTCCCCGGTGCGAATTCGATCTCCATACTCAGAATCATCGAGCACCTGGGCGAAACTGTCATCTTCACTACAATGCCAGCAGCCCGCAATATGGGTTGGAAGCCAGTTTAACGGCTGTTTTCGGCTATCCAGGTGTAGTTGTCTGGTTGTCTGTATGTAGGCATGTTGGTACGTAGTACATACGACCTATGTATGTAAGTATGCATGCATGGATGTAGGTACGTTCGTTAGAATGACTGACTAATTGACTGGTTGACTACTGCCTGCCTGCCTGCCTGACTGACTGACTGACTGACTGATTGGATGACTGAATTAAAGAAAGATTGAATGAATGAATGAATGAATGAATGAAAGAAAGACAGAATGAATGAATGGATGAGTGTACGAATGCATGAACGAAGGAACGAAGGAACGTATGAATGCAGGTATGTATTTCCGTATATGTAGGCATGCAAACTGGGTCTTCAGGCGAAAGCGTTTTGTTATGAGGATCCTACTACTGATGGTCTGCTTCGAGCTATTCGCAAGGACTTGGTTAAGAGACCTTCGCCTCATGGTTCAACAAAACGACGGCGAAGCCCTGAAATCTTGACCCTCGGACATCGTCCAAACCCTATAGGGTTTAGGGTTTAGGGTTTAAGGAAACCCTAAGAACACTCAGCCATTGGACCCTGTCGGTATGCGAACAAAGGATCCGATGGTTTAGGGCTTGGGGGTCCAAGATTCGGAAGGTTTGGATGGGACGGCTTCTGATGTAGGGCACCCTAACCCTGAACCCTAAACCCTATAGGGCTCAAGCACTCCCGAACAAATGCGACCGCAGCCGTTCGAGGATGTAAGGGGACATGGACATCTGGGAAGCCTGCAGAGTCTGTAAAGGTCTAGGGTTTAGGGGTTTAGGGGTTTAGGGTTTTGGGGGGTTCGGGTTTAGGG